TTGAATTGCAAATTGAATAAGCGCACGGTATGATAAAATATGTTAGGTATTCTAGGATTATTTTTCAACCGATACTCTTTTAAGATATAAGATCTATTAAAAAAGGCGCAACGCAACCAACGTGCAAAAGTCAAAGTTTTTGCTATAAATCAAGCAACAATGGACTACAGGACCTGTAATAAATACTTGTAAGTGATGTTATCATAACTAAATTAATGGCATTACTGAATTTATAAAATAAGTTTCCATTCGTAAAATAAAAAATAATCGAAAATAATTAAAATGGGACGGAGGGGGGGGGGACGGAGGGGGGGAGTAATAATTCTATAAAGTGAAACAACTTCACACGAATTCTTGTATTTGAAAAATGAACTCATTAACTTCGTAAGAAACTGGATGATATACCCCTGGAGACTGAAAAATGGGGACATTTGGAGTAAAAGGACTTAAAGTCACGAAACATCTCTAATCATGTCTTATATACATATTGCTCCCCCCCTCCGTCCCTTCCCCCCCTCCGTCCCAAATTCATTATTTCGATTATTTTTTATTTCACATATGGAAACTTATTTTTTAAATTCAGCAATGACATTAATTTAGTTATGATAACATCACTTACAAGTATTTATTACAGGTCGTCCAGACCATTGTTGCTTTACTTGATTTATAGCAAAAACGTTGATTTGTGCCTGTTGATGGCCTTGCGCCTTTTTTAATAGATCTCATACCTTAGATGCGTATCGTTTCAGAAAAAATCCCAGAAAACCTAACATATTCTACCATACCGTGCGCCTATCCATTTAGCAATTCAATAGTAAACTTTTTCTTGAAAAAATAAATCTTCCAGATTTGTTGAATTTCCTAGCAGAAATTGCCTGCTCCCCCCTCCATCCCATATTCACGATCACCGGGTGTGATCTAGTATTTAATTGGCTTCTCACTGAGAATATCCTTAAGGCTGAGACTCTTTTTGATCACTTGGTAGGTTCAATAGTCAATTCAACGGGTGTAGTAGTCAGAGCTCCATTTTCACATTTTATATTTTTAACAGTAAGTCAAAAAATGATAGTGTTATTATGTCACCACCAAAAAGTGGTGATATATTGTTATTCTGAAAAAGTACTGCCAATTTTCCATAGGAGAGCGTGGGTCATGTCTATAGAGCATCATGGGACCTGTTTCTTTCTTTAATACGTTAACAATTCTTGCTGAATGATATTATTTCCTTTGGGGGATGTGTCAGTTATATTTCATTAGAAAAATATGATGTTGAACAGTTGCCAGTGTTGTGTTCTGTGTTTAACATTCTAAATGATCATTGATAGTATCTACTGATATTTCTAAATCTCACAAGTTAGATAGTTGGTTGAGTTAGGTAGTTGGACAAAAGATCTGAGGAGTGATCATTTCAATATATAGTTCCTGGAGTTAATGATGGACTGAACCAGCTATAATGATATTACACATAATACAATATATGTTCAAAATTAATAGAATAAGCTCACATGTTTCTTATTATCCCATCGAACGAAGTTCGGAGGGATATAGGGAACGCCTCCGTCCGTCCGTCCGTCGGTCCGTCCGTACGTACGTCCGTCCATCCGTCTGTCCGTCCGTCTGGGCAATAACTCAAATACCGTTGGCCCGATTTTGTTCATATTTTGTACACATATACCCTATGGCAGTAGAAGTTCTGCTCGTGAGCCGATTTTCAAAATGGCCGCTCATTTCAAAATGGCGGCCATTTTAGTGACGATTTTACAGTAATTTAGGTGCAATATGTAAAACTGTAATAGCAATATGTTTTAAATGTAAGAAAATTATAAAGGACATTAATAATGCTACAAATGTAGATATTAAAGAAGCACATGGCAGCCATCTTGAAAAATGGCGGCCTTTACTCGTCATTTGACGATTTTTGCTGTAACTCAAAAAGTAGTGGAGCGATTTTGTTCATATTTGGTATGTGAATACTATAAGCATTGCACACTGTCTAAAGACACTTTTGGTAGAAGGCGGCCATTTTGAAAAATGGCCGCCATTTTAACGTATTTTACTATAACTTGAAAAGAAGTGGAGCGATTTTGTTCATATTTGGTATGTGAATACTATAAGCATGGCACACTGTCCTATGACACTTTTGGTAGAAGGCGGCCATTTTGAAAACAATTTTGAAAAATGGCCGCCATTTTAACGTATTTTACTATAACTCGAAAAGTAGTAGAGCGATTTTGTTCATATTTGATATGTGAATACTTTAAGCATGGCACATTGTCTAATAAAACTTTAGGGAGTAGTCGGCCATTTTGAAAAATGGCCACCATTTTTATGTGTGTTTTTTTACAAGTACGTGTGCGATTTTTCAAAAATTTTAGAGGTGGCTACTAAAAACCATATTATTTCTTCTGATGACAACTTGGCTAGTGAGCAACCATTTTGAAAATGGTGGCCTTTCTGGTGTGTTGTTTTATGATATTTGCGATTCGTTTGTAAAAATGCCAGCCATTTCTGTTCGATGGGATTCGCTACGCCTTGGCATTGCCGTTGTTCTGGTATTGTTAAAGTCAAGAAGAAAGCAAGAAAACAAAAGTTAAAGCAAAATTAGCAATTACTTATTTCTTATCACATATATACAGAGTTATTTGTCATCACATGTTGTCATATCAAGAATTGTGTCAGGAAATTTTCGGGATGAAAAAATCGAGCAAAACCAAGAATATTGTCGGCCTGACTTCTGTAGGTGATCTTCTTGTGCTATAATGAACTGATATTTGCAACATACAGCCATGTGTATTTGCAATATGGATGTAAATTATACTGTATGACCCTGAGAGTCTCCATTCTAATAACATGGGTAAATATTAGTAAGGAATGATTCTGTCTGAATTAACTTGTGGTGATTATCATTTGTTATATGTGATAATTATCAAATATTCTGAAAATTTCTGTTTATTCCATATGATTTGAGATTAAAAAAATGATTCAGTGGCAAGATTTCAATGACATTACATCAGTCTATATATGTTCTAATGAAATCAGAAGAAGCCCTCAAGTTACAATGAGTAAGTATACATGCCTCCTTCCCCCTTCTTCATGAGATTCTCGTATCACTATGAAGTCACCCAAAATGAATCCCCCATCCCGATTCATTTAAATCAGCCAATATCCATAAGTTAACATTATTGGTATATAAGGTATACATGTATTTGAATATTTACCTGTTACTAAGTGATTATGTTATTGAAGTACTGTGATGAAATAGTTTAATTACTACTTTGACTCAGCGCTCATACTCAAATAAGATTTCAAATCAACCTGTAGGAAGGAAACTTAATCTCATTTCAAATTCTCGTCATCTTACAATATTTGACAAAATAAAGATACAGAATATGAGAGCTTTTCGAGCAATATGCAAATCATTTTTCAATAACTTCACCTAACCGTCCTCCACTTGTTTTCAATTCAATTCAATTTATTTATTATACCATCACCCAAATAAAGGGTTATGACACAATGTTGAGGCCTGAACAAACCATGTATAACTGATATCATCCATTTACTAGACATAGAAGTAATCACTTGCAACTAGCAGTCTAATTAGGTCACATATTGATTGTGCATCGTCTGTGAATTGCTCTCTCATAATAACTGATTTCTAGAACAGAATGACTCATGGCTGACAATGTCATTAAATACAATGGTTATATTGACTGCCAAGCAATGGGAAACAAACAAGAATGTTGAGCATTGATTGACCTTAGGGATGAAAAAGTCGTAGATTTGAGTACCTGTGAAATTGTCAATTCCTTACATATTTTTGTTTAATCATAAACTTTTTTCTTTATTTTACATGTTTTACCTTATATCTTTTGAAACACATTTTCGGACAGGATTAAAAGAAATCATAATACTGTTGTGTGATACAAAGCAGCATCATAATACTCATTCTGGGTTTCACAAAGGCTACCTATCCTTTTTCGAATTAATTTCATGGCTATTGCATTAGAGTTGAATTGTCTTCTATGGACAAACAAAAATTGTAACAAACTATGCAAGAAAGGCCCCAGTTTGGTGTTTGTTTAAGTACATGTAAGTTGTTTACCCAGACGTTCTATGTTTTATTTCCTCCAGGCAGGTCTACATATTAGCCAGACTAGCTCAACCTACATGTTATTTGCCACACTGATCACAACTCTCATGATTGCAGTGTAATTACTCTCAGGGAAATCTGGAGCTCACTTTAAGTTGCTTCATATATACCATGCTGTATAGTTTTATGGATATTGCTGGTTATGATATGAATAAAAAGAGATATTTTGTTTTGATATATTGTGACTTTTACTTGATCTTTAATGTATTGTTCCTTGCATTACTAAGAATTTATAAGGGTACCTGTACCACATATATTTATATGTACCTTGGTAGATAATATTTCTAGACAGTTATCCTTTTACATGTAGAAATAGAGAATCTACGACAGGAAATGAAACAAAGGATCATTATCAATGTCTACACGCTCCATATAGTTTTAAAACTTAGGTTATTTTATTATTGAAAAAGTTAAAACATATTTTTGTGTTTTGTAAGATTTTCTAGAGCAGTAAGGTAGTAAACAGTAACATAAGTCTTCACTAATCATCACTCCAGGTTATAAATATACATACAAGATACCATGTTGTTTTCTAAACTTGAGATTCTCTGCCCTCATATTAGACAGTGTTCCTAATTTAGAACAGAGCACATTATTTATAGCAATTCAATAATATTTATCACCATGAATCTTACATGAGTAGATGTCTTTACTTTGGCAAACCATAATGTTTTGCTAATGGGTTCATACATTTCTATAACCCCTTACTACTACTAGGAGTATACATAATGTATGTATATTTAATGTTTATATTTGGCACAAACTTAATGGTCTATACATGTATATTATAAAGGCCCAACTTAGATTATTTTGAATTGAGATATATATGTATGTTTTTCTCTGATTGCAGAGTACATCAGCAGCTTGTGTAAAGAATCTAAAGAGAATGCAGTCTCCCAACTACTAGCTCACCTCCCCCTATTACAACCAGGCAATACAGATGCCAAAGCCGAATATCTCAAAATTCTACCAAAGATTTTGAATCATTCAATTGAAAATGCGACACATATTGAGGAAAGTCGCCAGCTCTTGTCATATTCATTGATTCACCCAGCCATAAATTCCGAGGAGCGATCCCAGTTTACCATATGGCTTGGGAATTTAGACGATTGGTCAACGTCACTCCAAGGAAGTTTTTATAACCCAGCATCACTTGGAGGAAATGTGACATCACTCGCAGGAAATACCACTCCATCATCATCATCCACATCACAAAATGGCACTAACCAAGAGGTCCAATCGCAGTATATGCAATACTTCGAGGATCCAATGGGATTGCGCACTGGAGGTAATGGAGGAGGGTCAGATACCCACAATTCAACACAACAACTCCCTGGAAGTCGTCTTAATGAATGGCAAGCCCCAGGGGCAAGGGATTCTGGGATTATGGACATAAATGGAGAAAGTAATCTTTTGCATCCTGATATAGGGACGCAGATTACCCAGAATGCAGGTGCACCTAAGTGTGCCCTGATAGGTGCTAATTTTGGGGGCCAAATGCGGGAACATACCCCTCTTCATATGACCAACTCAGCCCCTACTGGATACCCCTTGGCTGGATCTCAAGGTATAAACAATTATGAATGCCATAAAAACATTGATTCAAATGATGGCTGATTGATGAACCCACTATTTTATTGTCCACTCATTCAGATATAAATAGTACCTTTCAGTATTCCATTCATTTTTAAATGAGTAGGCCATAAAAAAGTAGGTTAACTGCCAGCCTGCAGTTGAATTCACAAATTCAACCATATGTATCTTCTTACATTTTTGAAAGCGTTAGAAGGATTACTAGCAGTTACTTGTTTAAATTATAATGGTTCCTCCATTGGCCTTATAAGTTCACTATAGTATACTAAACTAGCCATGTTTTCTTGAAACTTCACTATATCTACATATTTTTTTTGTGTACATAATGTATTGTATTTTGATTATCACAGGTGGAAATCAAGCAAACACTCACACTCGACTAAAACGTACCACATCAACCACAACACCTTCACCATTAAATCTCTCCGGTTCCTCTGTCAATGATTGGCTCAATTCAAACTCTGAAGATTCTGGGGTGCGACAATCCAAGTCCACGGGTGAACACGCACCATTGTCACCTCAGAGCAGTGTGACATCATCAGGTAGCAGCGATGATCGGCAGGAGGACGTGACAAAGAATCGCTTTGTAGAGGATGGAAGTGGGATGAAAGGTTAGTTTGTATAATGAAATAGAATGATGATTGTGTTGCTTAGAAAGAAAAAATTATTGAGTTCATTCATGTCTTTTACAATAGCATGCTCATTCAGGCAATTTGAATCTGACATTTGACCCAATGGCCAGTGGCAAGGATATTTAAGAAAAGTATGAATATTTTGATGAGTAATGTACCTAGAATAATCCTATGCAGTGTTTTCAATAGCATTGTCATAAAGTGGGTCCTTTGGACGCATTGGTTTTCAAAAAGTGGGTCCTGCAAAAACTGGTGAAATTCCACTTTCTTGGCCATTGATCAGTTGGCCCAAATATGTAAAAATTACCCAAAAGTTAAGTTGGCACCCACCCATATTTGATTGTAGCAAGTTTTGCCTCAGAAATGCACTAGAAGCAACCTTTTAACTTTCATTCGTAAAATTCCCAGGAATTCCAAGTCACATTTGTACAATGGATGAAATGAAATTGATGAAACATTGACATTGAAAGTTTTGAGAATGTAAATGGCTTTTAAGAAAAAGATGGTCATTTGTTTATTATCAGCCTTATCATTTATACCCAGATTGCCTTTATTCAATGTAATGATCTTGCCTTGACAGCCATAAAATCACATAGGAAGTTACATTTATAATCATCTACATGTATATTATGATTTCAGATGTCCCCATCTGGTTGAAGGGTCTGCGACTCCATAAATATGCCACACTATTCCAGACTCTTACTTATGAAGAAATGCTCGGTCTTACAGAGCAATTCCTAGAAACTCAAGTGAGTCAACGATTGTTTACTTATTTTCTAATTATTATGTCTTCCAGAAGTGTTTTGTAAAATATTATAACAACCATTGACATACTTCAGTTTCCGTTTCTGTTTCGTTTTCAATCTAAAGAATCCTTCCATAATGTCTGTCTGACAAAACCTATGTAATAATCAATTGAAATCTAGAATCAGCATTGGAGATAAATCTAATGCTTAATCTAAAGTGAAAATCTATATTAGGTATAAATATGATATACACTTTGAAAGATAGATTAGTAGATGAAAATAAATCAAAAAAGAAAACCATCACAAATCTTGATACATTAATCGGACATAGTGATTGAAACAGAAAGGCAAAAAATTAGATGTATGTTTTGCCATGAGGTGTAAATTGTAAATTTCATGAAAAGCTCTGAACATTGTGCTGTATTGATAGAATTCAAGCCACAAACAAAGATATTTATAAGGATCTCAAATTCCTGTAAATTAAGTCATTTTGACAGATAAATACCACACCATTCAATTAGTTCCTAGAAAATGCTCCTTATTTTTTATGTCATATGAACTTATTGAACAACCTGATATATCGCTTGAAAATGTGTAATCTTATTTGCAGAATGTGACAAAAGGTGCTAGACACAAAATTGTACTAAGTATTGCCAAACTGAGAGAAAGACCAGGGTTGCTCAAACAATTGGAAAAGGTAAGGGCAACTTGTTACTCAATCCAAACACAAAATATGGGTTTTACCACCTGATTAGGATTTATAAAAAAACACCATAATCTAATTTTGGGAAATGATATAATATCATTTCAGCTGAACTCATGTTCCTGTAACTTTGTCAACTTGAACTTTAGGAAAACATACTGCGTATCTGGCATATGTTATTTAGTGAATGAATAGAAACAGTTTTAAGAACTCAATGAGAAAACATGAATTCAAGAATATTTATGGGATTCTTTTACCACCATTGAATGGAAAGTAGAACATATTTTCTCTTATAAGACAAGGAGTGAATGCAAAGTACGGGAATTAATCGGGAAATTAATTTTCCACAGCGTTCAAAAGTAAGAAGACAAATTGCCTGTAAGGATTTATGCTGATTTTTCTTAATATTCAAATTCAATTCTCAATTTAGTTCAAAAATTCTTACAGTATAGTATAGATGTTGTATTTAAAAAACACATTTGTAATGAACCATGTTGCAGGAGGTTATAGAAGGAGGATCAATTAAATCAGCTTTGACTGAAATGCGGGGCATTCTTCAAACGCCAATTAAACTATACAGACAGCCCTCCAATGAGACGAATGAATCAGCCGACTCTGCCCTCCCATCCCCAACAGGGACAGAGGGAGATGGTTCAACAATTCCTGAGTTAGATCTTGCCAGCAGGTTCACCAGGGTCATGGGAAAAGGTCAGTTAGATTGAGAACTCAGAACAACCTCTAAAACTGCTCTGAAATTAATCCAATTTAACAGATGATCAGTGAAAATGTCATCTCTAACGACATCAACATAAGGTATCAAATTAAATTTAACATTTTTTTAAATACTGTAGATTGGGTTAATTTGGTGCTACTTAATTTGGCGATTTTGCCATTTTTGGCATATTGGCGGCTATTTAATTTGGCGGATATGAAAAAAAATGTTAATACAACGTTATACTTGCGCTATTAGCGAACTACCATGTAAATGGGCATGTTTGGCTATGTTCATTCTTTAAAAGTCCTCAAAAGTTGAGGACCACTGGCGATATTCACCATGTTTGTACATTTTTGTGAGATCATCCTTTACATTTTGCACCTCGATCGATGCTGCTACTATACCTCACCTTTTCCCTGAGTATTAATGAGTGACTGACCAGTTCTAAGCCAATTTATGAGAGACATTTTTTCATATTTTTGTAAAAAATTTAACCGGAAGTGACCTAAATACACTGGACGAAATACCCTAGATAATTCCCGGGGATTCATTCTAAATTTTGGCGAAGATTTATATTGGCGAATTTTTCAATTTCGCCAAATTCGCCAAATTAAAGCGGGCGCCAAATTAACCCAATCTACAGTATTATATATCGTAATTTATTTAAGAAATGTATTATTTCCAGTTTGTACACAGCTGCTGGTGTCCAGTCACACTGATGATGAATGTTGTAACCTATACACACAGCTGATTGACAAGTGCATCAACCATGAGGTACATTCTTTATAAAAAGCCTGACTCTGGAGATCATTAAAATGGCAATATTGTAAATTACCACAATTTCAAAGTATATAAGTGCCACAAAATGATTACCAATAATGTTTGCATTTGATATAAGTTACAGTGACTTGCAAGTTGGATATTATCATGATTTAACAAATTGGGGTGATTTAGTGTCAAATACTGTTAATAGCTTCCAAAACAAATTATACATAAATTTGATCCTTTAGTTCCTCCCTGTCAAAAATCCAAAACCTCCAAAAGTCCAGTACATAGCCTTATAATGTCTTTACTCAGGTCTACGAAAGTGACATGACCTTTGCCAATCATATTATGAAAGTAAGATATGTTTGTAAAAGTACTTTTTTCCATTCCAGGCCTTCACCCAGAAACAAAAGAAGTTGTTGTTCTCTTGGAAACAGCAACTGCAGAAGATCTGGCAGCCACATCCTCAACGTTATGGAGCTGACAACAGGCCCAAACGCAAGTAAGTCATTAAGAACATTCACTCAATACTCACATTGCTCACCTTATATGTGATCCAACCAAAATACTGAGATGCAATCCCTGAATTCTAACTGTCTGACTGGCTCCTAAAAACTGCCTGATCACTATCATTCAAAGCTGATTCTTCACTTAGGAAAACTCAGATTAGCAATTGAGTGATGAAACTTGAGAGTTAAAGACCTTATGCATTCCCTGCAATTCTCACTTAAATGCTCTTCCATGTGTATGCCAATTTCGCCAAAGCAATTTTATATACTAAAGGAATGTGTTTTATAGATTTGTATGGGTTGTTTGATTAAGAATATGTTTTTCATCGATATCTGGCCCAAGGACCATATAGGGAGTAATATGTGCCTGAAGGATTCATCTTTTGACAACTTTGAAAATTGATCTTCATTCCAGCTCATGGGGAACATTTCCAAGAGGGACGGGGAATGCTCCATTTGCGACAAACAACATCCAACGCAGATTGAGTGCCCATGCTCAGCCAACTGGTCAAACGACATGGAGCTTTGGAAACTCCAAAAAACTGATTGGAAACAGTGGCACTGGGGGTCACACTGCACTTGCCAGGAATTCATCATTCAATCTAGCAGTGACGCGGCCAAGTTCTATTGATGTGAGTTAAAAACATAATCACATGTTGAGAATATTTCTTCTATTAAACTTCATGTATTTATTTTACCATTGAAAAATTTCAAACAAAGCATCTGATCTACTCTGTCAAAAGTTCAAAATTTTGCTTTTCCTGTGATAAATCTTTTTATGATTCCTTGAATAAGTGTTATTTATTGGTATTTCCCTCATAAACAATATTGTTTCTTTGAAAATAATGAACATTTAGGATGTTCATGTGACTTGTTCTAACTTAGATGGTCCAATGTCTGTTTTGTGTATTCTCTTTTCTCAACAAATTTGTCAACTTGTATATTTCAGGAAATGAAGAAACAAGTGACCCGTACACACTCACTGCCTTCCAGGGCCAACCCGTCATCTACGTTCTACAGGCAACCCAGTAAGTAAAGTTAAAAAACACTCAAGGAAATTTTCTCTGGTTAATGATAACTAATTTTGTATTTACTTCATTTGCTTCATTTCATGGCATCACAAATGTGTTGGATGTATTGGAAATACATTTTTTATTAAAACTTGAATCATTCTGAATTTTTGTTTGCTTATTTTGACCCATTAAATACTACTTTAACTATTTCCTTATAATACATTTTCAAATTTTCCAGCTGCCCCTGAAAATAGTGCCACGGAGCCAGAAATTAATGCACGATTAGACTCACTGTGTTTGAGTATGACGGCTCATGCACTTGGTGGATTTGGTAAGCATTTCACAAAGAAATTATTATGACAAAAATGTTAACAGGTATCTTATATAAACTACCAGTTATGTTTTGGCTGTGTGAGCCAAATATAATATCCACAAGTTGATTAAAGGTGGAATAGCAGTAAATTGGGAATAATTCCTAAGAAAAAAATCATTGGTACCTTAAACCTGTCCTGGAGATTGGCTATGACCCCAACTTACTTTTTTCAAAATACCAGAGTCTGAAAAAATCATTCACCTCGATATTGATGAAAGAAGTTTCAGTATTGATCGACTGCTGAAAGGTTTTTGTTCAGTGTGATATTAACATGGTTTTCACTAATTTTGCACCCAATAGAGGGCTTTTGACCTTTTTTTTATTACATCACGTGGTGACCGTCAATTTTCCCTTGAAAATGTCAAAAGGCAAAACTAAGTACAAGAAACATTGTCACCTATTGTAAGTTGATCGAGTTAAATTGATATTTTTGAATGAAGGAAGAAAATTTGCATAAAAATCGTAAACTCCACTTGATGTGTTCTTCATCACTATATCGTCATTTTCTTGATACATATTGGAACTTATGGTTCATATCCATTTAATATTATGAATATTCTTCCTTTAAGTAGATTCATTCTGCCCTTTGGCAAGTTGTAAAGCAAGCCCCCCCCAAAAGCTCATATTGACCCAACATCTTGTTTAATTACTAAACCTTATTGCCATCTATCCTTACAAAAAATGATTGAACTTCTATTTCCAGATACAATGGACAAAACCTCTACATTTTAGCCAAAGCTCCTATTTGTGAGAGATATTTTCAATAAAATGAAGCATCATAAGACCCAGTGCTCAAACTATTTCTCTACTGATTTTGTCACCATGGCAGCAATAGAGCTTGATGGATATATCTCATCTCTATGGAAACTGATGAAACTGAAGACTTGAGATGAATGATGACCATTATAACATTGAACTACATTGTTATGTGAAATTGATGCAGATATGTCATTGAAGTTATATAGGACATTGCTACTTGTTTCAATCTAATCTGGAGTCAACCATAGAACTTTGTCACACCAGCATCTATCTGATTGTTTTAGTTGCCAGAGTAATATGGTTGACATAGAAACATGGTTGTCATGGATGTTATAGAAGTATTATTGCCTTACAAATATAGTTGCCATAGAAGCATGGTGACCAATGGAAGATGATGTTCACATTGAATATGATTATGTTAGAAAAATGGTGGCCATAAAGATATGGTAACCATGGTAAAAGGGTTGATATGGTTGTCATAATAGTATGGTTGCCATTCATGAAGAATTAACTGTTAAGGATGTGTATGTTGCTATGTAGCATATATATATTTGGTGGTTAGGGGTTTTCTAAGATGACAGATCATGCATTTAACAATGAAATGATGAACACATTTGCCAAGTAATTGTTAAGAAAGGACCAGGTGTGGTATGGTAAATGTTTTTAGGCAGTCATAACTTAGACCATGACTATTCTGACCATAAATACAACATTTTTATTAAAATAAAATGTAGTAATTGGGGCAATAAACGCATCAATCCATCTGCCATACCATACCTGATCCTTTTTGTATTTTTGTGGAAAACTGGCAAATTAGCTTACAGTTGCACTTTATAACATGAAGTACAACTGTTAAATAAATGTACGGTTTATATATTTTTCATGACTTCATGCAAATTTTACTATTTCCATGAAAAACACATTTCATACTTTTTATTGAAAAATATCTGGAAATAGGAAAATTTGTTAGAAGAATAAGAATTCATGTAAAGGTGGGTTGACACTACTCATTTCACCATTTTGTAGGTTGAATAGTGATCCTTTTCCGATCAGTGAGATGAAGTATTTATGACTACCCCAGATTTTGGTTTATGAATCCAACAGTAAGAATGTCATTTGTCCAACATAATTAGTTCATCAACCAGTAAAGGGGGATTCTCAAATCTAGGCTTTTGTTATAGAATTCAATATTTTTTGTGTCTATTAAACAGGGAATACTGAATGTGAGGTTCATCATTGTAAAGAAGTTTTAAATGCTTTGTTAAGGTTCAAATGACAGTATTATCATACCTCTGACACTCTGTGCAATTTTATTTTGTTTAAAGGGCATGCACATACAAAAAATGCCATGGTTATCAATTACCTTAACAGTGAACACCTATTACTTTGTAAAATGTTCAGTCAAACGAATTAAACTATAAGCTCATTTCTGTATGTTTTGATATACATGTAAGCTGTATCGAAATTACATCTGGAAATTGACCCTCTGGCATTACGCATGTACATCAATGTGGTTTATACTTCTTGTTATAATTCACAGAATGCTGAGCTGGGTTCTTCCTTTACAGCCAGTAAATTAACTCTATTGACATAATTTTATCCCTAAAATCTGAGAATAAAGGAGTCATACTTATGTCATGTCTTATCTTTAACAAGTTATGAAACAAACTTGAGCAGATGTGAGGGAAATTCCAGCAGAATGTATTGTTTAGAAAAAGATAATAATTTTCCTATTGAAAATGGTTCCTCAGAATCTACCAGCTGAAGAGAATTAATACAATGTACATGAAAATAGAATGCCAATGAAAATAGGATGCCAATGAAAATAGTTAATGTCCTGTCTCGGTAGTGCTTGAACTTCATTCAAAGCAATACTGTGAAATTATTTGTATGTGCATCCTTATGTAGTGGATTGAATCCACATGGAATCCAACGTTGACGTGGATACCTTGTAATTGGCGGAATCTAAGATTGGGTGCCTTTGCCTCAAATTATTCCTATATAATGCCATATAAAATATGAAAAGTTTATAAAAATGCAGCGTATAATCATATGTGCACTGCTTTGTGAAGTCTGCTTTCTTTATGTCATCCAATTGAAAAAATAAAAAAGTCATCCTATTAAAGCTCAGTTAACATCTGCTGAATGCACAGTTTACCGTTTATAGATCAGCGACATTTCTTTCAATAATATTCGACAATAGATAATAGAATTATCGAAGATTTCAAATTGGTTCTAGTCAAAATCCATGACAGAAATGTAGCTGAAATGATGTCTCTGATATACAAACTTATGAACTTGCATTAAAGTGTGTGCAATAGCAAACCGATTGTGAATCTCGTTTAATATTGTTTAATACTAGCTATAGACGATACATTATAAAATAGTTATTTTGCAAAACAGTGCCTTTTAAGTGTTTAGTTAAGGTTTGACATCTTCACTACAAGTTAGTAATAGTAATAATAATATATACAATGTATTATTTTAAGTATAAAATGTAACCGAAGCTTTAAAACATATCCAAAATTAACCAATGCTAGGTCCACCTAGTGTGGCATTTTCTACAGAATAACTGAAAGCTGGACTTTGTAATGAGTTTATAACTTTGTAAATAGGTTTGCTAGATGAACACTATGGATTTATAATGGATGAGGAGTGACCATTCATTGAAGATAATTAATGTGAAATTCCCCTGGGTGAGGTGTCACAGTGGTAGGGGTTACAGTGGTAGGGGTTACATTGGTAGGGGTTTGTGATCGGTGTCTGTAACAAATGACAGGTGGTGACATTTTGCATGTTATTGCCTTTTTTCCTTCAAAGTTCATACTTAAATGGTACCTGTTACATGTCTTTTGATAACTTGAACTTGAAAAAGTAATGGTCAGATTTTTGGCGAGAATTACTGATGTACCAAATTATAGTTTCAACAGGTCCTGTGTTCAACCATTTAACCAGCTAGCGACATCTTATTATTTCAGAATATCCTTGCAATTACCTACTTGGTCATTGCTGGATATTTCTTTAACTTTGTGAAACAGGTTGGGTACTTGTTAGGGGGTGGGCACTGAATTTGGCGGTTACGCTGTATGTACCATGTATATTATTACCACTGTGACGTTACATTCAAGGCATTCTTGTTCATTGTGTAGATTGTAGTGTCTAGATTTTGATGTCATCTATGTTAATAAGATGTCATCTATTACAAGTTTATATGTTATTTGTTCTATCTGATGTCATGCATGTGTATTTTGATGTCTTATATATACATAAGACAAATATATTTGAATGTAGTGTATGTTTCAAAACTCCTACCCTGTACTGTAAATCTGCTTATTTTTGCAAAAATCTTCACTTGCTGACTTCAATATGTCATAAGAAAGAGACCTTTCCAATAAACCCTGCCACCTATTGTTACATCAAATAGCTGATATATTAACTAGATTCATGAATACAGCCACTAAATGAATGTTTCTTCGATGTACCAAAAGGGGGCAGGGTTTATTGGAAAGGTCTATTACTACATAGAATATTACGATTGCAATCAACATGTAAATCAGTTTTAGTAAACATTTTACAGTAGTATTGTATAGCCATGAGAGTCGATTAAATAGAAAAACAATGAGCGCCTTCAGGATTGAACTATAGGACATGTTGTATATTTAGGCGAATTGTTGTACATTACAACTCTACAGTCAAATGTTAATGATAAGTCACTGCAGGCTTACCAAAAGCAGCCCCAGGTCTTTTGAAAGTACAGTAGATCATGTAATGTATTGTTTTCTCAATTGCTTGCTTTTTCCACCAACTTTGCATACTTACCTAAGGTTAACACTCAACATGTATATGTACATGTAAACATATACAGTACATCTACATGTATTATTTAAGCCTGAAGTTGTGAATGAGGATTCAGTACATGACTACAGTACATGGAGTACATATATATGTAAGACGCAAGCTCTTTGTATTGTGGCTGTAATATAGTAGCTAGAATGATATAATTGTAGAAGGTTAAATATTTATTGAAGATGAAAAGTGAAAAGCATATTATTAAGTATTAGTCAGGAGGAGAATACATACATTGAAAGTAATATAGTTCGTAAACTGTTTATTATGAAGTCGCTAAGCTAAAATTGTACACTGAAAATAATTCCATCCTCAATGTCAAGTTTTCTGATTTCAAACACCTTGTACCACTTGTACTTTGATTATGAGGTTAAATTTAAAACACTAGATAGATTTGAGATCAGTGCAGAGTGTTGTCTTATATAAGGGGGGGGAGAAACCCCAGGATTCAAAGATGACATACGCTTATAATGTAAATCTGTTTTGAGATGACATCGTCGCTGATTGGTTTAGCGAGTCGATCGTTGATTGGTTTAAAAATAGGTCAATTTGAAAACTTTGAAAACCAAGATGGAGGGTAAACAAATATACGTACTTCCGGGAAAGGAGGTGCGCGAAGGAGGAAATCGTATGTCATCAATTGAATCATGGGGTTTTCCCTCCTCTTGTCTTATATATTACTAGAACTATATGGTTATTCAGTAATGCAAAGTGAATAAGAAGGTAACATTGTATCTAGTCTACACATTCTACTGAGACAAACTGTATCAGCAGGAAATGCTCGAGAACTTAAAAACATTTGCTCATAGATAAATAGAAACATAGTATGATTCTAAACTAGTATCAGTTTGTATGATTTTGCAGAAAAGTAGATTTTCACAAAAAGGATATTTCTTCAGTAGAATGTGTCTCTAGTTTGCTTCTGATATTTCTCTTTCTATATCCTCTTGAGCATGTGGCACTATGTCCCTGGCCAGCATGTTGATTTGAAAAACTTAAAAGTTGAACTGATTGTCCTGTGATGACATAAAAGCATCATTTACTTTTGGGAATTAAATTTAGAAAATCTTTCTTATGTAACTTTTTTTTTTAATTATGAAGAAATTGAAGCACATTTGGGTCAAGAGAATTACGTCATTGTAGAATAAAGCGACATAAATTAGGTGAAATGTGAGATCCAATTCAAAGGTTTTTTCAAAATTACTGTTTTCAAAAAGGAGTAAAATCTCATTTTCTGTCATTTTGACATGGAAGGATAAGGTTGAAACATAAGCTGTACTGTATTGAAGAATTTGAAATGCATTAACAAATAACATTTTAGCATGTATTCTAGGATTAATGGGATTTTTTTTGTTGTAAAACAGGGAGGATATTTAAAATACCTCGATCACCCTGTTAAAATATTTGGAAAGATAGGCTACATGCATTCTTATTATCCCAACGAACAAAGTTCGGTAGGGATTTAGTGAAGTCTTCCTAGTTCCAACCTTATTTAAGTTGTCTGTCTGTCCATCCATCGGTCTGTCCATCCATCTACCTGTCTGTCTATCCATCCATTTGTCTGTCTG